ATATATGAATATTTATATATATAGTTGCTTAATGTTTTTCTGCTGTACTTGGACGCATGCTTGAAGGTGTGAGTTTTGTCTCAATGTTCACTGCTGTAGTGCTGAGACCTGGCACATATGAAGGGCTCAGTAAATCTGTGTTGAAGGAGCGAGTCACTGTGTGTGAGTGTGTATATGTTGGAGGCAGAGTGAGAATGCGCCAGGGAGATTGCGTGTGTTTCTCTGTGTGTTTGTGCTCACGCAGTATTCTCAGAGTCTGGACTCCTTTGCATTCTGGGTATGGCCTTTCTTTGGCCTGAAAGCGATTCCCCCTAAGCAATGGTGTTACGGAAGGAACTGGCAAGTGACACACAGAGAGGTAGCAGAATGGAAGCAAAATAAAAATGTTTACTGTGTGGCAGCAGAATGGAAGTAAAATAAAAATGTTTACTCTATCGATGGGGATCAATGACACCTATTGGTGGTGCTCTGATCGACTCCCCCACTGGATTACAACTCCTTTTATAGAGTTTTACAGCCTTGATCTAATTCAGGTGGTTACATTGCATTTTCACAGTTCGCAATGCTGATACCCAGAACATGGTGGCCAAGCAGTTGAATTTCAACCAGGACACCATTCTTTCTTAGGGGAAGTTACCTTTAAGATTTACTCAGTTACCTATTCTAGCCCAGGGGGAAGGGAGGGTGTTTGGTCAACAAAGCTAACAATAGTTCTTTTCACTTTACAAAATTTTTGAGGGAGACTAGATGCCTCCGTTGCCCATTAATTCTGAACAGAGCACACGGCAGAAGTTATCTTACATTGTGACAATGTCCTAGGTTTTCGCTATTAAAGTTTTCCCTATCCAAGGACCAGTTTTGGGGATGACAATTTTTCCTTGGGTGAGGGGTGATCAGACAGCTTAGATCCCTCCTAGGCACAGATCACAGTAAGTTTGATCTCCTGTGGGACTCTAACCACTGTTCTGACAGGTGGTAGAGCTCATGTGATGTGAACCATGAGGAGCTGCTTTGAATACAGGTGAGGCATGGGACCCTATCCCTCTGCTCACCTCCTGCTCTGTGGCCTGGTTCCTAACAGGCTGAGGACCGGTCTGGGGGCTGGGGACCCCGCCCTCAAGGACAACTGTGCATTAACCTCTCACTGATGACGCTCTTGTACCTTTTCTTCTCAGGAAGGAACACACCTACTCCTGCCGAATCCATGATCAGTGCTGTTTGGATTAACAAAGAGAGAAGGGGCTCAGAGTCTCTGGAAGAGGCAGCTTTGGAGGAAGGGAGGGTGCTGGAAGAAGCCGATAGAAACTGTCTTCTGGCTGCTGAGACTCCATGGCACACACACCTAGAGATGCACCGCCTAGTCCGAACTTTTCACCAGGAAATCACGCATCAAGTAAAGCCCAAGGGCCAGCTTGTGGAATCTGACCAGAGGCTTCCTCCAGAAGACCAACACTCGTTTGAAGATAATCAAAAGACTCAGCAAGGAACCAAAATCCCAGAGGCAGCCCAGCCTCAGCATCGGGCGGGCAGTACCACAACAAATGCAGAGGCACCCAGCCTGAAAACCGGCATTCAGGGTCCATCTTCCACAAAGAGCTCACACAGGCCAGCCAAACCAGCTCACTACCCATTCCCGCAAAGGAAAACTCCCAGGATCTCCCAAGCTGCCCGGAACCTGGGCCTATATGGTCCAGTCTGAAGCTTTTCTTTGCAGCCATATGTCTCAGCCTTGAGTCATCTATGAACTCACCAAACTAAAGGGACAAACACAACGACAGCATTGAACTGTAAACAAGAACTGGACTTACCCAAGGATAAGATCCATGGGAAAGGAACTTCAAGTGGAAATATAATACTGTCCTTCGAAGATCAAGAGATTTTGCAAGTCAGATTGTTCACCATGAAACAGTGCTATCTAATCAGTGTAGTACCACTCTGCTTACATAAGAAGACGTTGCTATGGAGCCCAGGATGTCTGTTCCTTGGGGAGGGAAGTCCTGCTGGACACCTGCTTCGTCCTTAAATGTGGAGAAGTTTGCAACATGAAGCAGGAAGTTTAGCCAATGCAATGCCTTAGTAATGCCCAGAGGTCAGTGAACATTAGCAAACTCATAGTCAGTAGTTTCTGATTCCTCAGGTATTCTGGAGAAGATGAGCCCTGAGAATTCAGAAAACCTTTTCTGGTTTCTCTGGCTGGGGGCCATCTCACTTAGAGGTCACCACATTCATTAGGAGTAGAGGTTACAACATTCATGTAGAAGGCACTACTTTCACTCATTTCATCTTGAGCCTCTCAAAGTGTGGTGGCCCTGGGTACAGCGAGTCAGGCCAATGCCCCCTCTTGTTTGGAGTGTTTAAGTAATCCTTAGAAAAGGCTGGTCATCTGTCAACTGTCACCGAGACTTCCCTTTTTGCTCTCTACAAATGAGTGTAACATGAAAAGCTTCCGATTATTGGAGATATATAATGATGGAGGCTGAATGTAAACACACACACACACACACACACACACACACACACACACTCCTGTTTGGAAAATATGTGTTCCCCACACACTGTCCCTCTTGCACCCTAACTTGGATCACTTCTGTCCTTTCTGGGATAGATACCAGTTTTGAAATCTAAGAACAAAATGGAGCAGGTGTTGCTTCAGTGATGAGAAAAAAGTATGTCTTTCCTGGTTAATGTTTAACTCTATTAATGATCTTGAAGTACCCTAATTTCCCTCATATCAGATTCTCTCTCTCTGTACATCTGCTCCTGGACCATCCTGAAATTCCCTCCCATTTGGGGATTCATTGAAATCCCTTTCATGAAAATGAATAAGCTGTAGTAATTATTTTTTATCTTCTAATGAAAATCAAGGAGCCGGGCATGGTGGCGCACACCTGTAATCCCAGCACTTGGGAGGCTGAGGCAGGAGGATCGCTGTGAGTTTGAGACCAGCCTGGGCTACATAGTGAGTGCCAGGTCAGTCTCACTACATAGTGAGACCCTGTCTCACAAAAAACAAACAAACAAACAAAAAAGAAAATCAAGGGAACTCTCTGAAAAACTTTGTCCTTTGCTTTTGTTTTAAAGAGGATTCCCACAAGGGACCTCTCTTGTACAGTGTTTTCAGCTGTGCTCTTTTCATTGTTCCAGAGGCTCTTGCAGGTTTGGAGAATCTGAGGACACAGCTGTCTGGCTTCTAGGGTGACCGAATGCAGAGTCAGCGTGCCTGGGTTCGATCCAGCTGCTACCTTACTTAATCCTCAGGTTAGGTTTCATTATCTGTAAGACGAAGTGGATAATGCTCACTTTTGGAAGGACTGGAAGTAATGTGTGTATGTAAATGTTCCTGACATTCTCCGTAAGAGGCAGTGATCATTATTGTTTAAAGTTCATCACACCTTCTCAGTCATCAACCTCCTCCAAGCTTCTCCAAAGACTGACGATCACCAGCTGTGATTCAATGGATTCTTCTAAGTCTTTGTTTTCTTTAATCTCTGCAGCATTCATGACAAGTACCATTGGCTTCCGGAGCCTTCCTCTCCCAAGTAGCCTGCACTTTTGGAATCTCCTCTCCAAGTGTATAAATTCCTCTAACTCAGAAAATGTCTGATTTGTCTCATTGGCTCAACACGTAAAATATGTCTTGGCCCATACAGCAAGTGCTCCATAAATGTTAGTTAAGTTAGAAATTAGGGGGCCAGGGATTTAGCTCAGTGGTTCCGCCACCTGCCTCACAAGCACGAGGACCGGAGTTCGATCCCTGGTACCAAAAAAAAAAAAAAAGAAAAAGAAAAGAAAAGAAAAGAAATTAGGGCTACTTCCCTTTCATTCCCTCCCACCTGACAGCCCAACTCTTTCCCCTTTCCCGATTTATAGAGTTTTTTAGACTTGGACTTTTTATTTTTCCTTTTGTGTGTTCTCTGTAGGAGTGAAAGTGAACAATGAGTAGAAGTAAGATCAGTTCCAGGCAGAGGGAACAGGATGTTTAATAACTGAAGGACAAAAGATCCTGCTGTGTGGCAGGAGCCCACGACTTCCGGTGTGATTCAAATCCTATAAGCAAGGGAGGGAGCAGAGACTGGAGAGTGTATCGTCAATACGGGGTATGTTTGCTAGGGGAATAAGCAACCTCCAAGTCTCACCACAGAATCTTGCTTTTCGCTCATGAAAGGTCCACTGTGCATTGGAGCAAGTTTCCGGGGCAGCTCTCCTCCAGGTACAGCAATTCAGCCTTCCTAATCTCCTCGCCAGTCTCTGGTACCACTACATCAACACTGCTTTCCCTACTGGGAGCAGCGGGAGAAGAAAGTATAGTCACTGTACTGACTCTCAAGTCACTTTTGTTCACGCCTGGTCACATCTTCACTTGAGGAATATGAGGAGGTACAGTCACCCCGTGGCCCCAGAAGGAAAGAGGACGTAAACAGCACAACTGGCTGACACAGAACAAGACAGCCAGGACCCAGAGGACTGGGGAGGCACGGTACACTGCTCCATTTCATTCTGAACACAAGAAGTAGCCATGGAGGAATTTAGTGGAAGTAGGAAGTAAGAATGAGGAGGCAGTGAAAGAGGCTGAGAAAAAGTGACCAGGGAGAAAGGAGAGCCAGGAGGGTGTGAACCCACAGAATTCAAGAGATGAGTTACCATCCAAGAATCTCCCCAGTTTCCAGAGTCCTCATTGTTCAGCTTGATTTCTTGAGCTCAGTTGAGTTTGACTTCTGGAGGATTGGTTTAAAAGGCCAGATTCCAAGAAGTAACATTGACTGTAAGGTGTAAGAAAACCCTCTGAGTAAGGGCAGGCAAAGTCAGTGCTCACGAGGTCGACTGAGTGCCATCAAAGCTGGCCTCTGCTTTCCCCTAGGGACTGGCGCATCCAGGTGCCTGCAGTGGGCTGAGGACAGAGTGCTCCCTGTCTTAGAGCTTGAAGGGAAAGGGGAGGGGAAGGGCTGATCGTCCTATCCCTCCTCTCCCTTCCCACAAGACTATTCTGCCAAGAGAATTAGACCAGAACAATGTGTCTCAGACACACACACACACACACACACACACACACACACACACACACCCCCTACCAACTCCTGGGCTGTCAGACTTCCTCAGACCGGCGAAGGGCTCAGAAGATTACTGAGTGGAAGCCACACCTCCTCCCCCAGTTGATTTCCCTTCCCCCTCCAGTCAGAACAGGGACTAACCTCTTTGCACACTCTTCACCCCTGAGAGCAGAAGGCTTTTCTAAGGTAGAGAACAACCAGATTTCACTGTGAATCCTGGTCTGAGCACGTTTCCTTTACACAGGGCCCCAGGCCTTCCAGCTCCCAGAGAGGATCCCCCCTGTGGCTGCTGCACCCAGACAGCCAGGCAGGTGCATTGGCGGCTCCGGCTCAGCACTGCACCTGCAGAGGTGGATTCTTCTTCGCTGAGTCACCTCCTAGAGCCACAGACTTCCCGGACCTAACAGCAGGTGAGGCTCTCACAGGAGGTGATGACAGGGTGCCAAGTGGGATAGCGGGGAGAAAGGGAGGGAGGAGAGTTCCCCCCCCACCCCCGACTCGGAGCAGGAAAGGCCTTTGCTGACAACTGCTACCTTGCTCTGTCCAACCTCTCCTCCTTTTGTATTCAGTCAACACCAATACGAGTCAGAAGGGGAAAGAGAAAAGCCCTCGAATGCCAGCCATGAAATCAAGGACCGCTTGAAGAAGGGTCTTGGGCCAGTGGTTTGCCTTAATCTTTAGAATGGCTGCTAACACTGTGCAGGCTCCCGAGGGCCTACCATATTAGACTTACTATCAGAAACTGCTCCTTTGGGGCCAGGGATTTAGCTCAGCAGTTCGGTGGCCTGCCTTGCAAGTGCAAGGACCCGAGTTCAATCCCTGATGCCAAAAAAAAAAACCCAAAAAAACCAAAACAAAAAAAACTGCTCCTTTGCATAGCCACAGCCGTTTTTTATGCAAATGTACCTTCCAAAGGGACGGACCTTTAAAGGTATAGTGTTGTCATTTATACATTTTCTTTTGGCAGTTACTTTAAAAAAATTTTTTTTCAGGAGATGCTCAAGCATAGCTGTAGAAAAAGACTAGGTGATGCTTTTCTTGGTAGGGGAGAATCTAGGGTTTAAAGGCGATCTTAGCTATTAAGTGTGCATTTCAAGGAAGGGAGGAAAGCCAAGTTTCACATGGAGCTTTCCCATACTGAAAAACAAGGAAGGAGAGACACCCTTGCCTAACCTTGCCCATCCCTGCTTGTCCTGTCTCTACCTAAGGCATCCCTTAGGCATGACCCATTCAGTGCCAGCACCAGCAAGCCGATAGTTCTTGAGGAAGTGGGACCAGAACTGAACCGTAGCTTTTTTTTTTTGTACCAGGGATCGAACTCAGGACCGTGAGTTTTCTAGGCATGTGGCAGCACTCCTGAGCTAAATCCCCAAGCCCTATGCTGCAGCTCTTACTGGTACTAGTGTCCCCATTTCCTCCCATCCTTTGGCTAATATTAGCTATAGGCTTTTCTTTTCTCAGCCCTCTGTGAGGATATCTCTCAATATGGAACCTGGTTGCCAGCTTAATGATATGCTCCAGAGAAAAACCATGACAAAAGAAAATTGGTCCCCTGGACACCAGGAGCTGTGGGTCTCTGAAAACTGTGTTTGGTTTTACAAACCCGAGCCTCTATGTTGTGATGACCTCATGGTAAAACCAGTCAGTCCTCCCTGTTCAAACACATTCCTGGGGGATGGGACAGAAGGGATGGAGATATTCGCTAGTTCCCAGCCCTATTCAAGTTGGGATAAAACTTTCTTGGAGTAGGCCTCTCTGGTCTTAATAAAACATGCCTCAGAGACAGAAAGAGAGAGAGAGAGAGAGAGAGAGAGAGAGAGAGTGTAGGAGTAGGAAAAACTTGGAGTTAAAAGTCTTTAGCAACGAAAGAGGCTACTCTTTGTTTGTTTGGTACTGGAGATCAAACTTGGGTCCTTGCGCTTGCCCTACAGAGGCTCCTCTTCATCATGTTTGTGGTACATTTAATGGAGCGATTCACCAAGAGCCATCATTCCTCTCAATCTTGAAAGACTGAGAACATCAAGGGCTAAAATTGCTCCCTCACTAGCAGAGGATCAAACTGGAAAGGAAACGGAGACATAGCAGGCTCAACTCTCCCTTCCAGGAGTGTGGAAGTGGGGGTCAGGCCACACTGCCCCAGTGAAACCTGTCCTTCCGGAATGGAGAACAGCAGCCTTGTTGGTTGCCTTTAAATGGCAGGCGAAACCCTGCATTTTTGTATGAAGTATGTTGCTCCCCAAATCTGCCCTACCTCCAGGGAAATGACAGAGAGACATAGGCTGTAAATCTGCCCAGGATGGAAACACAGAAAGTGCAAATCTCTGTTTGCTAAATGGAAACATGGTTTACCAAGAACATATTGCAAAATGAAAAGAAAAGAAAACTCCTATTGGGATTTACCTCCTATTAATCTCAGATCTTGGTGAGACCTCCAACAATGTTACCCTGATGAACCAAGCTCTGTGGTTCCATGAATGATAAAGAAGGAAGCCACCAACCAAAGGAGGAAGTTATCAGGCTTTTATTGGAAATAGTGAGAGAAAGCTTATAATAGAAATCTATTATGGGGGGATTCCAAATGGAAATTTCAATCAGGGATCTTTGTCTTGGCCTTAAAACAGACAGAGTGCGTAGGGGACAGGATCAGGGGACTTGTTTCAGAGGAGATGAGTTCAAAAGAGTTCAAAAAGAAACCGGTTGTCTTACATTATTAATGTTTTCTTGATACTAGATCTAGGTTGGGAGAAAGAGAGGAGAGATTAAAGCCTAATTTAGCTTTTCGCCTTTGTTCTTGAGTTTACCCTTGCATCACTACACTTGGCTTAGCTGTTTGAATTAGCTCCTAA